TGTGCAAGAGAATAGGTCTGGGTAGCAATAGCTAGTTTACATATCTGTTACGTGATGGAGGCTTGGGAGAGGTATATTGCCGGCGTGCGTTGGCTGTATTTACATTTCTGTCTGCACGCAGCTGCACGCGGCATTGGCATCGCTAATGAGTCACACGGAAGGCGGAGATGAGTTTTGAAGAAAAAAAATCCTCGTCTCTTGCACCGTGGCGGCAGACGCCCCTTCTGCCGACACGGAGCCACTCATGCACCAGCTGCTCGCTCTCACGATGGCTGCACACTCCTAAAAACCTCCAGCACCAGCAGCTCGTCTATAGCATGCGCGACGCTGCAGATGTACCAGCATCGTTGTAAGCCGCGGTCAAGCCACTGCTGGGCGGAAGGCCTCTCCACAAGTCAACGCCGTGCGTCTCTGACGATTACTGCGATGCAGTGACGGGAGAGAACGGCGTTCCAGGCGAGGCGAGCATTGTGACAGCTTTCTCTTGGATCTGCAATCTGTGTGGAAGCCTCTCACAGGAAATGAACACTCAAACCGTGGTGCCGTGTCAGATGAGCTCATTGTGCTGCAGAGAAACGCACGTGGTTTAAATTAAAAAAAAAGTTTTATCAGTGTTCATCTTGGGGGTTGTTTGACGATACTTCACGCTCGTTAGTGCGGGATGGTGAAGGAGGCGACCTGGAACCAATGCTCTTCTCTATTGCACCTCCTCTTCCCTCCCATCGCCCCCTGTTCGTACCCTCCATCGTGGTCACTCATTCCTCAGCCCTTGAACGCCCCTGCCATCGATATCATTCTATTCTGTCACCGTTTTTTTTTAATTATCTTAAGTTCATTGAGTGAAGGACGCGCCTATAGAGACAAAAAGATAAGATGGTGAGGCCTTCATCCAGCAGTGGCTATGCAAAGGGCTGAACCCTACTATTATTACCATCCTTAGTAGTGAAAGCAGCCCAGCCTCCCTTCAGCTTTCCACTCCTATGACGTAACCGCGTATGGCGCGGGCAGTACTTAGCCCCCACCAGGGGGAGGACGGCGAGTGGAGCTGCACGCAGGGTGCCATACTCATCGCTCACTCACGAGCCCCCCGACCCTGGCTAATGAGGCAATGGGTTTGCCGTTATGTTACAAATGCGTACCACGGATACTGTTATACATCGCACGATTCAAGGTTCACGATAATCGTATCGTCCATTGAGCGAAAATAGTATTGTCTCCGTGATAATTATCGCTGCGTTATTTGAACTCGTAGAACAAATCTTACTTATTGGCTGCGTCGGGTGGAGGTGGGTGTACGACACATTTACGCGATCTAAGCCAAAAAAAATGTTCTAATGAGCAATTTAAATAATTAGCTCTTTACCCATTAAATTAGTGCTTTGCAAAACGTTTTCTGGTGGAATTTACGGCATGGCGGTTATATGAAGTAATCGTTTTTGGAGGTCATTTCATATTTGAATAATTTATTTTGCAACTGACAGAATGTGCTCTGTAAGCAAAACAGATTGTAAAGTTGCAATGAATGGAAGTCATATCTTTGGCAGGCTTATGCTGAGCGACCTGTGAGTTGAATGACATTTAAGTTATCTTTATACTGCACGTGTTTATAATCACGTATACAATGGGAAGGAGGCATATAGTCTCGTATTTTATTCAAACTGTCAGTAGAGCAAAGCTCAAAAACGTTACAATTATAATATGCGCTATAATTACGTTTTGGGAAATTGCTATCGCGATGATTGTCATCGGACATCGCGGCAACCCTTTGACGCCTCAAAATACCACGACAGACGGTTCGCCACCTACCCACATCTATATCTGCGCATCCACATAAAAAATGAACGGTTTATTTTTTATTTTACACATCCCTTCAGCCCCCTGGCCTTCTGAGAGCACATCGTTTCAGCAGCATTTGTTGAACACGAGCAAACCTCCGGGACTGGCTTTGACATTCGGTGTCTGTCGCAGTGAAGCGATGTGCGTCTTCACTGCGCCACGGCGTGCATCGTGGGCAGGGGTGGTGGCTCGGTCCGCGTGTCGTCTTCCCGCCGGGCCCAGGCCTCGCCGTGCCGTGCGGGAGGGCCTTGCGTGGACTGTGGGAGCGGCGCGTGTAGTTTTTAAGTTTTTTGCCGATTTTGTGACCGTGCCTTCCCACGAAAAGGAAAATCCTTTGCAGATGTCCCGCGTGCAGCTACAGCACATTTTGTGATTCTAAGCAGGCGGCTGGGGAAGGGGCATTCATTGTGCCCGCCCCCTCTCTCCCTCTCTCTCTGTCCCCGCATCTCGCCCGCTCAAACCTCGTCATGGGTTTTCTTTCTATTCCCATCTTTCGCACGTGAACAAAAAAAACGTTGGGCACAAATGGTTGCGCCAACTTGAGGAAGAATTTAGTCTGGTACCCACCGTGCGACCGCGGTCTTAGTGCTCGGATATGATTCATTATTTAACCCGGGGCTGGTGCACTGCGATTCCCGTGTGTGTCTTTGCCATTGTCCTTAAAGTCTCATCAACGCAAATGAACAAACGTCAGTGATTTCCGGCTCAAATTAACACTGCGGCAGAGCTCATATCTTCTTTACAGCCCTGATCTAGTGGTGTAAATTACACATTCCTGTGATGGGGACGAGCCTATGCACGGCTGTAAAACCACTGTTGACTTTCCCACAAAGTGGTACTCATTGAATCGACTGTGGAAGGATGATTGGCTGAGTCAACCCCCAACAGATTTGAACTTGCAACCCCACCTACTTGCAGCCTCCTTCGCTCTACCGCTGAATAAAAACCATTGACACAATCCTGACCAACAAGCTCCCTGGAACGAATGCACACCTATGAATCGTACAGTCAGGTCATTCAATTAGGAGTGACGCCTCGCGTTAGATGACACCACGTGATGTTGCGCTGAGTAACCGCTGCTACATTCACACTGAACGTTTGTCCCAGGGGGTGGCCCGAGTGAGGCAATGGAGCGAGCGATGCTTGGGCTCGGCTTGTGAAGGGGCTTGCCGAGCCATATTCCCCCTTCTCGCCCACATTGTTTTCCCAATTCACTTCCTCTCCCCTGAGCGATCGGTTTTGGTGAAAAAAAAAATCGCCTTTCATAAACCATCCGGGAATTTTCATTGTTCGCCGGCGGCCGTGGGCCGCAGCTCGGGTTAGTGCAGATGCCTGCGCACGCCGGCTGAATGTTGATGTCGCATTTGGGATTGGTGGCCCTGGAGAACAGAGGGAGCGGGCTTCGTGTAGAGAGGAGATGAGGTCAGGGGTCAGGCAGCGGTGGTCGGAGGGCGGCGGGAGCTGCAGGCCTTGTCAGGAAATGTGTCACAAAGACAAATATCCCCCGGATAGCCTGAATAGACTGTTGAGGCAAGTGGTGTTAACGAGCACCTCCTGAAGGCTGGAGTGGTACACGAGTGGGTGGGTGGACAACATCACGCCCGACCGACTTTATCTCCCTAGTGGCTAGTGGCGATGTTTACACACCACAGCAGGTTCTCATTTGAGGCTGAGTCGACCTAGGCTAGGCCCAGGACCGGTTCAAATATCGTCACTGATGTTGGCCGTGAGCGGAAATTGATCTCGTGTCCCCGGTTTTTTAGCACAGCACGCAAACCGCTACGCTACCGCTCACCCGATATGTCGCACACTTGCACGCACACAGCTCTGATTTTCTGCTTCACTAGAAATATTCGAGGCTCTCGGCAATACTTCATCACAGGGGGCACACCCCTCGCCGCGGTGTGAGGGCGAGGGAGGTGGTGCCGTGAGTCGGTGAGGAAGGGTGAGCGCCACGCACGCTCCGTCACTCTTGCTGTTGCCTCGCACGCGGAGGCACTTGCAACATCCTATCTCATCCTCACCTCCCCAGGGTGACCTTCCCGTGTCAAATATTAATGGTCATGTGGTATTAACACTCATTATGCACAGTTCTGCAATATTATGGATCATAAAGTAAATCAATGAATGGACAGACATGTTGATGTAACCATCGTCTTTTTTTAACAGTGTTGGCCTTCTGGACTAATGTTACGTCGTAGTAGCATTTGTTTAAGCAAATAAACCTGGTTGCAGAGCCTGGCCCGTTCTTGGCAATAACTGCCCATGAATAATCTGGGACTCATTCAGCACAAAAGGGATGTGGAGGATTAAGTGCAATAAAACAAATAAGAAACAATTGTATTTTGCCCTAAAAATAACATTTATGTTAATCCGTCAGCCTAGAGGCCTTCCTGTCCAGAGTCTGCCTGCTGGACAGTTAGTCAAGAAGTCTCATTGGTTGATGAACTAAATCCCAGATCAGTTTACTCTCCCCTCTCATCTCACTCTACTCCCCTCCACGCACTCTACGCTCCAGCAACTGAGACTCGGTGGGAGGGTCGCTCATTCTCCTCTGCTGCCCCTGTAGTCTGGAACTCCTCTCCCCCAGCTATCCGTGTTGTCTGCTCCCCTGCAAGTCCATTGACTGCCCTTACCTGTGTTTCTGTACAGGATCTTGGGATGATACGGTCACATTCATATGCAATAGAAATCCACGGTGTTGCAATAAGGTTTTAAATAATGGATTGTCTAAACACAGCGCTCTTCTCTCGGTGCTGAACAGGATGCCGAGACGCGCACATCGCAGGGATGACTGGGCAAGTCAAGACACTTCGTAGACTGGAGGCAGAGACATTCAACCGCTGTCCACGTTTAAGTGGAGAAATTGGCCACAGTTTGCTTTTTCTCTCACGACTTCATTCAAAAAAAGTTAAACAAAGGGCTAATTTGACCTCATCGTGTCTGATTACGTGCACCGATGTAAGGTAACTCCGCCCGCCACGCTGGTTATACTGTGTCCGTGTGTATGTGTGCGTGCATGTGCGACCGGGTGTGCTGTTGGCCCCTCGCCCCCTCGTGCGCCGTGCCGGCTTTCATGGTCGCTCTTGAACAGCGCTCGCCTCAGCAGCCTTGAAAAACCCTCGCCTTAATTTATACCGCCGATCTTTTGTCTCTGCCGTCAGGCTGGGATGGTGTCGCCGTGACGACGGACTATGGCGACGAGCAGCAGTAGCAGCAGCGCGGACGGGGTCGCCGTGGGAACCAGCAGCGCCAGCAGCAGCTCGAGCCCCGTCGTGCGACAGATCGACAAGCAGTTCTTGATCTGCAGCATCTGCCTGGAGCGCTACACCAACCCCAAGGTCCTGCCGTGCCTGCACACGTTCTGCGAGAAGTAAGTTCGCGCCCCGTCCCCCCCGCCCGCCCGCCCGCCCGCCCGGCTTGGAAGCAATCCTTGCGCTCGTTACAACGCGCCTGATTGGACGACGAGCAATAATGCGAGCACACTTTCAGATGATTTGAGCGGGTTGTCGAGATGAGGCTGAGGGCATTTTACACGCATTTTAGCGGTCATATGATACATGTGTAGTGACCAGTAGCGTCACTACTGTGTACACACGCACACGTGTGACGTCACTATGTGGGGGAGCGTCACTACCACGCGGGTCTACACACACACATGACGTCATCCCGGCTGGAGGCGGGAATGACGTCAGGGCCGGTTCTGGACTCGGGAGGCCACGGGGGTGGTGTGAGGCCGTGGCACTCTCTGTGACCCCGGCTGGACACGTGACTGGACCCCAGTGGGGGCCGGGGGCCTAGGGGGCACCTCGGGGGGCACGTGGACAGCAGGAAGGCTTCGAGAGGGTTCTCGAAGGGAGGCGTGGCCGGGGCGGGGCCCGGGCACGCCGAGGCCCATATAAGCAGCCTCCTCACGAGCTTCGAGGCTGCCCGTATCAAGAACGAAGATGCCTCGTGAAGACGCCAAGAAGGGTCAAGCCTCCAGTCAGCGGACCCGCCAGTCGCCCACCTGGCTGGGTCACGCTAGAGAAGTGTGTGTTAGCTTGAGTAGGACGGTGGTTACCACTCTATGGAACGCGGCCAGTGTTGGTGTTTCAAGTTTCAAGTTTCATTTATTAGGTATAGCCCTGTGAGCCATGCGGCTCTTAAGTCGGGTGCAACCGCAACAAACAAAATTTGAACACAGAACATCTTAAAGCGACAACGTGTAACAGAAACATCCTGGAATAAACCAGCAAATATTCCACGCAAAAAAACATGTTAAAACGCTGTGTGTTAAAATCAATAGTGTTGCCTCCCAAGAAGTGTGTGCGCCTATTTCAGCCCACTACACATGTACGGCACGATTGGAGATTTGCCTTCTTTCCATTCGAACACATGTACCTGTTGTCATGTCCTCTCTCATAATATACAGACGGTATCAGATTTGAATTCCTCACGATATACACACACACGCGCGATGGGATCGATCACTTAAGGCCTGCGCAAATAGTACGGTGACGTTAACGATTCGGCTGATGGACCGAGCAAAACTGTGCAAACGAGGCAGAATAAACGCGACACAAATATCAACGAGACCTAAACCACACAAAAAGCAGAAGAAAACGAATCGATTCTTGAATTTAATTGCAACCGTGAATTGTGTTGAATCACAGGGTGGCATGAATTGTTACAAATGGTTATGTATTTTGGCATATCCTTCCCAGGGGTCACAGCCACTCTGTGACCCCAGCTGTGAACTTGGGAATAGCCCGGGAGCGCGACGCGTTATGTAACAAATCACAATGTTGTTTATTATCCCGGAAAGCCACGCCGAGTATTTGGCCGCTTTACATTTCCACACGATGATAAGCCACTTTGTTGAGCTATCATTTGTGGCCAGCTCGCTTCTGAAAAAGAGCTACATAGCTCGGTGGGGCTTACCTGGTAAACAAAACATTGGACCGAGCGAGGCGAGCGAACAAACGTGGTGGAGTGGCTGACTGAGTGGACGGGGGTAGATCGTTTGAGCGTTCGAGGTGAGGAACGGGGGAGCGGGGCGGGGGGAGAGCGGGGCGGGGGGAGAGCGGGGCGGGGGGGAGAGCGGGGCGGGGGGGAGAGCGGGGCGGGGGGAGAGCGGGGCGGGGGAGAGCGGGACGGGGGAGAGCGGGACGGGGGAGTCGGGGGAGGGGCGAGCGGGGCAGGGGGAGCGGGCAGGCAGGGCGGGGGGAGCGGGGCGGGCGGGGCGGGCGGGGCGGGGGGAGCGGGGCGGGGGGAGCAGGGCGGGGGGAGCAGGGCGGGGGGAGCGGTGCGGGGGGAGCGGGGGGAGCGGGGAGAGCGGGACGGGGGGGGGCAGGGCAGGGCAGGGCGGGGGGGGCAGGGCAGGGCGGGGGGGGCAGGGCAGGGCGGGGGGGGCAGGGCAGGGCGGGGGGGGGCAGGGCAGGGCGGGGGGGGCAGGGCAGGGCGGGGGGGGGGGAGTCGGGGGAGTCGGGCAAGCGGGGGGAGTAGGGCAGGAGGAGCAGGGCGGGGCGGTGGGAAGGGGGGAGCGGGGCGGGGGGAGCGGGGCGGGGGGATTGGGCGCTCGTCTCCATGGCAACGCGGCGAGTTTCCGTGGCCCGGCGTCGCGCGCGGCGAGGCATACGGACGCGTGAGCTCGAGGGCTGCTCGACCTGGCCACAAATGATGGCTCTACAAGGTGGCTTATCACGTGGCAGTATCGCAGCCATATACTCGCATGCTCATTCTAAATGTGGAGGGGGGAAAACTGGAGGACCAGGAGCAAAATCCACACGACCACGAGGAGAACACGCAAACTCCAGATATGCAGGCGTCAGGGTCGTGATCAAACCCAGGACCCCCTGTACACCAGGCGAGGGAGTTAACATCTCATAGCCGCCGTGGCACCCCCTGCAGGCGGTGGCCGAGTGTGTGCCGGCGAACACTGCGTATGTTGTTAACGTTTCTCATGTAATCGCTCCTTGAGAAATCATGTATTGCTGTTCATAGAAGTGCAGTTCTTGATTTCAATCACAATTATTCGAGCTGCTCCCTCCACGCGCTAAGGCCGCAACACCAGGGCAAGTTTCTTCGGCAGTGTAAATGAGTTCGCCACGATCGATTGGCAGGTAGCACGTGGTGGGGTAGAGTGTGGGTACTCCCACCTATCCCGAGGGATGCCTGGCCAGCGTGGAAGAGTAGGCCAAATACACAGTATGGAGAGAGGGGTTCCATAGAGCTCCCTCTAGCAGTGGTGCTCCTTCCAGCAGCGGTGGCACGAGCCAGTGGTTACGAGGCTGTGCCTTTACCCTGTCATTATTAATGCACAGTACAGTTCCGATTAAACACTCGTTCAGGGAATCGGCAAAACATTGGTCAAAGATTCCAATCCAGAAATAGCTTTGAGAACCACCAGGGCGTTCCGAGCTACATAAAAAGTCCCTTGAAAATCTTTCATATGCCATAAAAAAAATGTAGCTGTTCTTCAATGTATGTTGTTGCTTCTTTGGACGTGTTTTGCATTTGAAGATGACATTTTGGAATCCCTGCTATCGAATGCTCTCTACGCATGAGCCTGCAATTGTGCTCACTTGTCTCTCTCTGTCAGGCCGTCTTTTTGATGTGAATGAATAATTTAAAAAATATTGCTTTTGAGGATTAGCTACTGAGACGCAATATAGTTGCCCTTTGATCACTGATCAGAGCCTCGTGCCAGTGCTTAGCTCATAATCAAGCGGCGCATCTGGCGTCGTGATGAAAATAGAGAATGAGAAAAACGAGTTTAATAAACCAACCGTTCACGTAGCAGTAGCATCGTAAAGGGCACATATATATTTTTTGGCAATCTGTTTCAATAAAAAAAAACATTTCACCGTGACATTTTGGGGAAATGTTAAAATAGACGTGGAAATTTAATTTCAAAAGGATTCGCAGTGACCTGATGATATAGGTTCACGTTGCCTCGCCGAGGCTTTATCCAGGAAGCCCGAACCACCTGCGCCACCTCTTCACCCCTTCACTATTACAGCCCGTTTAAGAATTTACTCAACAAAAACATCTCGGTAAGAACTAATCCCGGAAAGATAAAGCGCCCATTGCTCACAGAGTGAGTGATGAATAAAGAGGCCACAGCTGCCCACGATTTGAACGTCCGCTAGGGTTAGGGCACCGCCCTCCGGAGCCAGCAACCAGAGCTAGATTCACGTCGGCAGCTAACATCGGTGGCGAGCGAGACCCGTTCGTGCTCCTGGCTGCCCAGCCCCACTTTCATGAACCCGCGCCGACCGGCGTGGTGAAGTATGGTCAAACAACAGCCACGACCCAACAGACCGCGGAGAGGCATTAATCCGGCAGTGAATGGAGAAAGGGCTGTACATTATGTATGTTTGTGCTGTTATAACATTTAGTAGTCGGTCAGGAAAGCTTGGATTTCAAACTCGTGAATGTTAATTCTGCGTGTATGAGCACAGAATAATGGTGTCATTCTTTTACAACCCTGTGTGGGTTTCCTGCTGGATGAAGGCCTGCTCCACGCTGTGTGTATGAGCAATGTTTCATTACCCAGCAAAAGCTTCGCTGTGTGTCTTTCCGAGGAGACTCCTGCATTGAGATGTTTGGCCAATTCCTTTACTAAGGAGCGTGTTTCAATGATCGGGCGCGTGCAGCGCGTAACAGCTTAATTTGCATTTGAGCTTCACCTCATGCAAACGTGGACCACGATGGGTTACCAGTACAGCACGGAAGGTTGACAAACCCTGTGATAGACCAACTCATTGATATTCAGGAGGAGGAGGAGGAAGAGGAGGAAAACGCATCGCATTGAGAATGATTGTGTAATGAGAGAGCACACCGACATACGGAGGGCTGCATAGGCATTGCCGCATCGGTCAAAGCCAATCTCGGCTACGTGTTCGATCTGGGCCAAAGTTCATGGGCGGAGCTCAGGGGTACATGCGGGAACCATCGAGAAGGTTCTGAAGGGGGCGTGGTTAGAGGCGGGGCTTCGAACCGCCAAGGAGGATATAAGGAGAGGCAGGAAGAGGACTCGGGGTTCGGTGTGGAAGCCTGGGTCCCAACTGCATCGCCGCCATCTCGTCAGCCACCGACCACGTGGCAGACGCGAGCGAAGCTCTCCCGATTCCCAGCACGCCATCGACCAGCGGTGCGCGGGGGAAGCGAGAGCGAGGAAAGCCGCTCGGGAACGGAGGAGCAGAGAGCACGTGCATGCGGCAAGAAAGAGAGGGAGGGTGACCATCTAAAGAGAGTGAGGAGCCGAGCAGTCATAACTAATAAAGAAAGGACGCAAGTCTCAACGTGTCGTGGAAGTCGTTTATTACAATTGTATCGCATATTGACAGGGTTGGTTGTATGTATGTATGTTGAACTTATTTCGCACCG